CTCAACAGCCAGAGGAAAGCAAGACAGGGCACGGACACAACCAACACCTGCAGCTCCTTCCCTGCATGGACTCACACTGGGAAATGACTCAGGCTTTAGTTAAGCCCCAAAGAATCCCAAAACACCCCTGTGAGTGCTGAGGAGCAGCTGAGGGAGCTGAGCCTGGAGAGGAGGTGGTTAAGGAGCACCTTCTGCTCTCTCCAACTCCCTGCCAGGAGGTGTAGCCAGGTGGGGTCAGGCTCTGCTCCCAGGGAACAAGGGACAGGACAAGAGCAAACAGACTCAAGCTGTGTCAGGGAAGGTTCAGGTTGGACATCAGGAGGAATTTTTCCATGGAAAGGGCTGTCAGGCATTGGAATATGCTGCCCAGGGAGGTGATGGAGTCATCATCCCCGGAGGTGTCCAAGAAACAACTGGATGTGGCACTTAGTGCCCCGAAGTGATGGATCACAGGTCAGACTTGATGATCTTGGAGGTCTTTTCCAACCTAAATGCTCCTGTGATTCTGTGACTCCAGGGAGAGTCCTGGGGCATGAAGACAGTGGCAGAACACAGCCTTGGTCCTGTTCACCATCTCTCCTAGAGCAGTGTGAGTACTGGGGGCTCCTGCAGCATCTCCAACCCCCAAAACCACTGAGCAGGGACATCCCTGCACAGCCACAGCTCAGCTCGGAGCAGGGCAGATCCCTCCTGGAGCTCCCCTGGGATCCAGCTGTGCACCCACACTCCCCTCCTGCCAGGCTCTCCTCCCTGCTCCAAAATGAGCACAAAGAGAAAGGCTGTTCAGCTCACACCTCGCTAATTGTTATTTGTGATACACCAGTAACATTTTAATTAATCCGAAGTCTTCAGCATAACAACCACCCAAGGTACAAAGATAAACCAGAATAAACAGGCCTTGATTAAATACATAATTAATGTTCTACTAAACCCAGCATATATGAATATTAATTAGCAGGAAGAGTCTGCAGTTTGGAATCTCCTGTCATTATCAGTTTATTCTTTCCATTGGCATTTCCCAGCTTTGGAACAAATGAACAAACCTTTCCTCACCCAGAGCCCTCTGAACACACTGACTGCAGGAGGGTGTACATACAATTATTTCAGCTTCACTTTAACCTGCTTCCAGCCTGAAAACAAAGCCAGAGGCACTGCCAGGACCAAAACAAGCTCATCCCTAGAAGGGGATCAAAGCCAAAAAGACAGTTCTCTGCTAGCAAGAGGAGAACAGGGATGGAGCTGAGCCTTGGGAGGGTTTAGTCACCAGACAGAAGGATTTTAGGTAGAGTTTGGGTTTTGATAGGAGGTGTCAGAGGAGCAAGAGCAGCTCCAGCCCATCAGAGCCACTCATCCAACAAGGTGGACATGGACAACTCACTGGCTGCATCTCCCTTACTGCAGCAACCAGAGTCCCCCTGAGGGATGGGGAGTTTTATGAAACATTAGGAAGGCACAGGTAGGACAGAAAACGCTTGAGAACTCCCTGGACAACCTCTGTGTGAGTGCACTGGGCTCACAGGGAAGCAGAGCAGCACCAGAAGTGGCACCACAGCCTCTGCCAAAGGAAGCTGGAGAAGAGAAGGCTCTGGACAGATCCCATTGAGGTGTTTCAGTACTTCTTTAAGTGCTTATAAAAGCTTATATTCCTTCTAAAAGCTTATAAAAGAGATGGAGAATTACTTTTTACTCAGGCTGTTAGTGACAAGACATGAGGGAACGGCTTTAAACTGAAAGAGGGAAGATTTAGATTCAATGTCAGGAGGAAATTCTTCCTTGTGAGGATGTTGAGACACTGGCACAGGTTGCCCAGAGAAGTTGTGGCTGCTCCATCCCTGGGAGTGTTCCAGGCCAGGTTGGATGGAGCTTGGAGCACCCTGGGCTGGTGGAAGGTGTCCCTGCCCATGGCAGGGGGTGGGATGAGATGATACCCAAGTTCCCTCCCAACCAAACCATCCCATGACTCTAGAGAAGCACTGAGTGTTTTTTCCATGGCTCAGAGCATTCCCAGTGCCTTAGCTCAGCACCTCCCACCTCTCCCCAGCACAGACTCTGCTGAGGTGTCATTACCCTGCAGGAGTCTGTGCTAATTATAGTGTCAGCCTTTCCTCTGGCAGAGCTGCTAATTGAGGGAGAGCATTACAGTGTTTCCAAACCCTGAGCAGCAGCACATCCAAGAAGTGCTGCTGGAGCTTTTACTCAGAAAGCAAAAAGACTTCAAGGCAAGCTGAGCCTCAAATTGCTGCTCACAGAGGTTGGACCTGCAGGTGCTTCATGCAAGAAAGACCAGAGAGCTGGTAACAAGCAGGGCAGGCCACCAGCTCCTGCTTTAATCACAGACTGAACTATTCATTAGGTGCTGGACCTTGTGCAGGGCCCTGGGGCACCATGGCTGATGTCACCTCAACTCCAAACTCTGTGACCGGAAACCTCAGGGTGACTTTGGGCACATCCCTGTGGAAAGGAGGATGCTGGCACAGAGTTTTGCCATGGGTGAGTGGCTCCACTGGGCACAGTCACTGTCACTCACCCAGCACTGCTGTGGGGCTGTCCCTGGCATCAGGAGGACATGGAAGAGATGGTGCAAGGCCAGAGGAGGCCACAAAGCTGACGAGAGGACTGGAGCCCCTTCCATATGGGGAGAGTTGGGGCTGTTCAGCCTGGAGAAGAGAATGTTGTGTGGAGACCTCAGAGTAACCTGCCAGGAGCTGAAGGGGTTCCAGGGAAGCTGCAGAGGGACTCTGTGTTAGGAACTGCAGGGACAGGACAAAGAGGAATGGGGATAAATTAAAAGAGGGAAATTTAGATTAGATATCAGGCAGCAGTTTTTCCTGTGAGGGTCATGAGACACTGGCACAGGTTGCCCAGGGAGGCTGTGGCTGCCCCAACCCTGGCAGTGTTCACAGCCAGGTTGGATCAAGCCTTGAGCAACCTGCTCTGGTGGGAGGTGTTCCTGCCCAGGGCAGGGGGTTGGGACTGGATCATCTCTAAGGTCCATTCCAGCCCCTTAACATACTGTGAAAGTCACTGCCAGCTGGAAAAGAGCACAATGGGGACTCTGGGGACAAGGCTTGGCAGGGACTAACCCCCCTGAACTGAGCCTCTGGGTAAGCTAAGCCACTGCTCTCACACACCTCTCTGGGTATTAAGCTTTAATATTGTGACCTTTAAGATGCAAGAGAGAATTTCAAACCCTCTGTCACCATTCAAGGGTGGCTTTGTGCTCTTGTAGGAGCAATGAAAGGGCAGAGCAGCATCTCTGTGGCACCATTAACCTACTGCCAGGGGTGATGCTTTGTTCACCCCTCTACAAAACTTTCTCTTCAGCTGGTGACAGACAGGAATCCCCAGCTGAAGCATAGAGAGCCCAGCTCTTCCCCCACCTCCCTGACATGGCATTTAAGGGATAATATCCAATTACAGTTTAACTCAGTGCAAAAGTTTCCCTGGTTTTGGGGGGTGTGTGGGGATAATTTAAAGCTCCCTCCTTGCCTCCTCTGCCAGGGATCTGCTTTCCTGGGGAGCTGAACTACTATAGAGTTATCTACCTCTAATTAATAAAGCAAAAAGAGATGAGAAGGAGAAAAATGTTGCTGTTGCTAACAAACTAGAGCAGGATAATATGGAGAAACAGCCTGTGGTGGTGATGCACAGGCAGAGCCCCCACAAAAGGGGCAGTGAAATATCAACCCACATGTTCTCACTGGGATAAGGACATCCCAGCCAGGTGAGTGCCCCAAGGGTGGGAGAAGGAGCACCCAAGGGTGCTGTGAGCTGATAAGCAGCTGGAAGGAGGCAATTCCTGCCCAGAGCCCAGCAAACAGGAGGCTGGAAGGGACTCCCAGCAGCTCTGGAGTGCTGAAGGAGGCGAACACCCACATACAGCCAAGAGCTCAGCAGCTGTTGCTTTGATTTGCTCAATCCCAGGGTGTCCTTGCAGGGGGGAAATACAGGACCTGTGATTACAGCCCTGTAACAGAGCCTTCTCACCCAGGCAGATCATCTAGCGATGGAATTTAAGACAGATGTCCTGGCAGTGGATCCAAGTCAGTCTCGAAAGCACAAAGCACAAGGTGACAGCACAGGCAGCTCCTCCTGCCCCAACTCTGATGGTTCAAGCAAGCCCCAAGCTCAGCAGCTCCCACACTGACAGCAGCCACACTCAGAAAACACAGCTCTTCCCAAGGCATTCATTGTTTTCACCTCAATTTACAGATCAAGGTTAAGCAGAAAAGCCTTTCCCACCTACCCCCTGCCCCCACCCCAGCCCCAGCTCCAACCTGAGCCAGGCAGAGACTGCACAGGGAAGGGAGAAAGGAAAGGGGAGGGGAAGGAGAAGAGGAGGGAAGGGAGGGAAATCAAGGAAAGAAGCACTGGAAAAGGTTGTCTTGTACTTCTTTCATCATCCCTGAGAATTGCAAAGCAGCTGAACGTCCTCAGCTGTCAGAAATGTATTTCATTTCTCTCGTATTGCATCTTTTGCTATACTACAAAGCCCATCCTGGCAGGACACAGCCCTCTGAGGCTCAGGGCTCTGCAATTTCCCATCTATTGTCCAAATCCATCCCTTGAAGGAGAAAATAACCCCCAATTGCCCATGCTCCCACCGAGACACGGCGATGAAAACGCTTCCCTTGCTGGTATACAGAGCAGAGGAGAAACCAAGAGCCCAGAATTTGTTGTCTTTGCAGCTTTATCTTTCTTGATATACCCTTGGGATTTGCAATTCCTATCCCTACCAGGCTGGCACGAGCCAAGCTGCAGATGTTCAAGGCACCCAAGGGTCCCCCTGAGCCCCCTCCCCACATGGGGCTCTGCTGCCAACACCTCACGTGGTTCAACCTCACCAAGAATCTTGTCAAAAGGCTCCCACTCAGCAAGTGCCATCTGTGAGCAGCAAGGGAAGGGAAAGAAGCACTGTGTGATTCCCCCCCAGGGAGGCTCTGAGCACGAGAAGAGGGTGTTGGAGCAGGGATGGATGGATGGACACAGACAGGACTCACCTGGGATGTTGTGGATGGTTATAGCAAGGATCATCAGCATAATCCTCCTCCAGCTGCTGCTGCTGGCTGTCAGGACACCATCCCTGGGCACTGGGAATGCTGGGGGGCTGGCAGGCAGGCTGGGCCCTGCACCTCTCCTCCTCTGGTAGGGCTCCCCATTCTCACCCTTGTCTGGGGGGACAGAAAACACCTGGGTCAGCCAAGAGGGACAGAAGGACAGAGCTAGGCAGTGTCTGCCTCCCTTAGGAAGAAAAAAGCAGAGAGAAGGAGTAACCCCAACCAGAGCAGGGCACAAGGGGGTGAAGGGGGCAGAAACCCCCTTGGTTTCAGTTAGGGTAGAGATTCCCACACACCCTGCAGAGCCCACAAGGCAAGGTAAAGCACAACTTCATCCTCTGCCTGCCTCCTCCTCCTCCTCTGGGGAGCTGCTCCTGCTCCCACACAGCTCCCCAGCATCACTCTGGGCTACCACCTGCCTGCAAGGGCCTGATCTGGCAGGGACAAGCTCTGGGGCTGGTGGTGGATGAGGATAAGGAGGACAGAGCTGGGGGGACCTGCAGTGAGACCATCCCCCCCAGCCACAAAGCTGGCAGGGCTGCAGTGCCACTGCCTTTACTGAGGAAGGAAAACCCCACAACACCTCATTGGGATTTCCCCAGCACCACAAAACGGGCATGAGCTGATTTCATAGAATCATGAAACGTGAAGGGGCTGGAATGGTCCTTAAAGATCATCTAGTCCTTGGGCAGGGACACCTCCCACCAGAGCAGGTTGCTCAAAGCCTGATCCAACCTGGCTTGGAACACTGCCAGGCTTGGGACAGCCACAGCCTCCCTGGGCAACCTGTGCCAGTGTTTCACCATCCACACAGGAAAAACCTCTTCCTAATATCTAGCCTATATTTCCCCTTTCAATTTATCCTTATTTCTTCCACTAACAAGACTTTTGTTATGTGGTACAACAGCCACAGGTAACTCCAGGCTCTCCCAACCTTTGCTCCCAGCAGGACTGTTGCTATCAGCTTTATTCCCATCCCTTATTTAAAACCACACCACAAAATAACCCCAAATTAGGGCTGGGAGGAGTGGAAGGAGCACCAGGCAGCACTGTGATAGCCCCTCATACCCTGAGAGCTTCACCACTCACCTTCAGCATGACAAGGACAAGTGGAGCCAAGAAATGAGGAGCTCAAATTCCTCACCCAGCTGTGGTTTCCTATCAAAGCTTTGACATTTAGACAATGTAATTCTCTCCCTGTGGATTTATATCACTCTCTCTCCTGTCCCTTGACCACCAGCTCAAGGTTTTTTGGCTGTGGACAGTGCAAAGAGCTGTCTGAAAGGATTCTGATGGGATGCCAATGCTTCCCCTGCCATTTGGAGCAGGATGATGCCTGACTGGCACATCCCACATGGCACAGTGTGTGCTCCCAGTGCCAATTAAGAACCTGAGCATTAGAGGCTCATGCAAATTGAGGGAGGTCACCTTGGGAAGGCAGAGGTGTGGGCAGCACTGCCAGCTGGAACACAAAACCTGACACCTAAAGGCATCCCCAAAGGTTCCTCAGCAAGACAGAGAATAAAAGCAAGAATTAAACATGTTTTCACAGAATCATTGAGATTGGAAAAGAGCTCTGAGACCACTGAGTCCAATCCGTGACCCATCACCACTTTGTCAGCTAGAGCAGAGCACTGAGTGTCACATCCAGTCATTCCTTGAACTCCTCCAGGGATGGTGACTTCAACACCTCCCTGGGCAGGTTGTTCCAGAGCTTAACCACCTTTTTCATGAAGAAATTCCTCCTGATGTCTAAGCTGAACCTCCTCTGGCACAGCTTGAGGCTGCTTCCTCTCAAGTTTTGGTCCAAATAACAGATTAAAGACAAAACCAGGTGGACCTGGTGGATTCCTTCCCACAGATTCCCTCCTGTGTGATGGGAGCATCCCTGGATGGCAACCCTAGGGCTGTGAATAGCCACTCTCAGCCTTCCCCTCCAGGCCACCATCACAGCCACTCTGCAAACACAGCAAGATACTGCCCAGATCAATATTGTCCTTGTCCTCAGCCACAGGGCCAGAGCCAGACAGTGTCCCCAGGCCCAACCCCAGGCAGTAAGAGCAGCACCATTTGGTGGCAGAGCCTCAGCCTCAGCCCAGCAAGAGAAATACTGTTTTGAAGCAATCCAAGGACAAACAGATCCACTAGAGCAGCTTGTCCATGTCACCACGGGGATGCTGGCACAGCAGACCCCTGGCAAAGGGGCAGCCAAGGCTAAAGCCACTTAGGGATGAAATTTCCTCCTTCTAGCAGAGCATTGGATTACTTTAATTGCTTGGCACAGCTCCCCTGGCCCCACAGAGTGTGTTATCCTCAGCTGACCCTGTCCCAGCCACCAGCACTGCCCCATGGACCTGATGCCCCCAAGTCCCTGCAGAGCCTCATCAGAGTGATGTGAGGGTTCAGGAATCCCCTTCCAGCACTAAGGGCTTTCCAGGGAGAAGGATAAACAGATTCTGTGATGTTTGGAGATGAGAATTTGCATTCAAATGGCAAAACATCAGTGTTTCTCCCTTTAGAGAAGGCAACAAGTGTCCCATAAATGCTCCAGGGCAGTGTGGGCCCCTGAGGGAGATTTCCACAGGATCATGGAATCACAGACTAGTTTAGGTTGGAAGGACCTTAAAGCTCATCTTATTCCACCTCCTGCCATGGACAGTGACACTTCCCACCAGCCCAGGTTGCTCCAAGTCCCATCCAACCTGGCCTGGAACACTCCCAGGGATGGAACAGCCACAGCTTCTCTGGGCAACCTGTGCCAGTGCCTCAGCACCCTCACAGGGAAGCATTTCCTCCTGACATTGAATCTAAACCTTTCCTCTTTCAGTTTATTCTCCCTCAAACCTAATCCTAACCTGCTCTGGCAGTTTACAGCCAATTCATGAAACCAAAGCCCAGCCCAGCTCTGTTGCTTAACCTGCCAAGGTGTTCAGTCCTGCTCACTTCATTAGCTACCTTCTTAATTATTATCTTATTTACAACTAATCTGCTACTATTGGGGAAAAAAATGATGAAAATTAGCCATTTACAGGCATATTTGCAGCCCCTCCAAGGACAGCAGTGCCAAAGGATCTGGAGATGCCACAGTGCCCGTGGGGATGAGGAGCTCAGCTCCTGCCAGCAGCAAAGAGGGAAAATAAACAGAATAGATGTAGCTATTCTAGAGAAAGTGCTGAGGGTGGTTTGGATGGACAATCTGAGCAGCAAATTGCCTCTTCTCCAACTTCTCTGTGCATTAGCAGAGGCTAAAGGCAGCAACACCAAACCTGGGAGACAACCTCAGCATCATTTGCCCCGGGAGAGTCACACAGAACAGTGTGGCCAAGTGATGAGTTTAACTTCCAACTGCTGTTGGGAAAGGTGGGAAAAACTCAAGGTCACTTACAGAGGAGTGCTGAGAGCAGATCCCAGAGCTGGGCCAGGCAGGAGGGGACCAGAGCAGATCTCACACCACCCGCAGCACCCGCAGCACTCCCAGCCCTGCATCTCAGCCAGGCTGAGGGGAACAGAACAGTCATCCCAGCTAAACACAGACTTGGCTGGGAATCAGGAAAACCTCAATAGCAAATTGGAGTGGTGATAAGAGCAGAACAAGGGGTGGTTTGTAAAGAATAGCTGACACCATCAGCCAGGGCCTTCGCAGGACGTTGCCAAGACAATTATGTGGCAAATCACTATCTGCAGCACATACATGATTTTAAATCTTGTTCACAAAAAAGTCCTTTCTATATCCTACTCCATTTATCATTATTGAATTTCTTAGCAAAGCTGCAGGGCAAAGATTCTGCCAAAAGTTTAATTACATATGTGCAGCCCTGCTGCATTTTTCATATCCTCTGCAGCCAGCACTGGGGGAAGATAAATGGCTTTGAGCAGGGCTTAAACTGCTGCTGAAGTATAAAACCCAACTGGCTTCTTATCAGCATGTGAAATGGCTTTTTATTTTTGATTGTTTCTTAATGAAAACTGTTTGCATTAGCCCTGAGCTCAGCTTTATTGCACAAACACACCAATGCACTATTTACTCTGGGCTCCAATGCCCCTCCTGATGCACTCCCTCAGCTCCTGAATCCAAATCAGAGTCCCTGGAGCTCTCCAACTTCTCACACCTGCTCTAGACACCTTCTTCTCCTCCTCACTTAGGCCTGGTTGTAGCCTTGCCTCTCTCTTCTAAACTCTGAAACTCAAAGTGCCTAGGGCTGCTGAGCCTGGGGCTGAGCTCTGCCTGGGGCTGCTCAAATCACTCTCAGCAAAGTTTTGGAGCCCATGCAGCCACTCTTAGGTGGTCTGACACACATTCTAGTCTTGATTAAGCTGAAAATCCCCCCTCCATTCTGCACTGGGGGGCAGGATGGAGCTGGTACCCTCCAGCACAGGCTCAGTCTCAGGCAGCAGCCCAGCAACTCCCTTCTCCATGCCAGAGCAACACAGTGATGACAATCTGGAGCTTCCCTTGGCTGTAGGTGCTGGAAGGAAAATCATTGACAGCTCCAAGATCCTCCTCTGTCTTCCCCCATCGATTTCCCCATCAAATTCTTACAACAATGCTGTTCCTCATCCAAGAAGGATTCCTCATCCAGAGCTGCCCATGGCTAGGGGAAGTATCTCCAGGCTCCCACAGCACCACACTGAGGGCTCCAGGGATTTCTCCTGCAGCTTAAACTTCCAAGGGATAAGCTAGCACCCTTATGTTTGTCAGCTCCCATCTCAGAAGAGTGGGAGAAGGGAAGGAGACACAGTGCCAAGCACAGATGCACAATAGACTTATTAAATTGGATGATTAAACTGCTGCTCCACAGCAATTTGTACAAATGGTTTGGAGTTGATGCACATGGGAATGAGGCAAAGGAAGAAAAGCAGCAAATACTCTTCTCTTAGATAATTAGAATTGCTCTGGTGAGTGCCCAAAGCACAGGTAACAGCTAAGCACCTGGAGGGAGCAGGAGAGCAGCAGCCACAAAGTGCTGCCAAACTCCTCTCCGGCTCCTACAAGCCCCACACCACA